CAGTTCATCTGATTGACTAATAAATTCAATTTAATTTTTACATTATTTATACAGGTTAAAATACTTTTTAAAAAAATGAAAACCAACCATAAAAAACTATATAAAGGTTTCATTAGAGCTGTAGGACTCCATAGCCAAAAATAAGTTTTAATTCTCATTCATTTAAAAAAAATTAGCTTAGTAGTAACTTGATTTTATCAGGTTTTGAGAAGTTATTACTATACTGACTTTTTTAAACAGATGAAAATTAGAACTTATTTTTGGCTATAGAGTTCTACATTTTTTTAAAAAGTATTTTAACCTGTATAAATAATATAAAAATTAAATTGAATTTATTGGTTAATCAGATGAACTGTCTATGATATGTTATAGAGATAGCAACAGCATATTACGGTAAAGTTATGGCAATCATTGAAACAACTCGCCTGCACTTCTAGTATCAACAAATTGAGTTTTATGTTTACATTTAATTTATCTTCAAATGCAAAACAACCAATTATCATAGTGACAGTTTTTTTAGTTAATTCTTTAATAAGTGATAATACTCCTATATAAAAGGCTTTAAATCTATATTAAACAAATTTGTTAGTTGCTATTCGGTAAACCATGGACCTAGTGCAACATTTTCTTGAGCTTGAGACACTTTTTATAAAGGAAATATTACAGAAGATAGAAGTTATTTGTTTTATTGTAGTAGAATTAGTGTTTATTTTATTTTTCTTTTGCTATCATGAAAAATATAAAATTTTTTAAGAAAAAATTATATTTTTAAATCTTTTTATAAACATATTTTTATTTATCATTCTTTCATAAATTTGATGTTATTATAAAATCTAATTATTATAAATATATTTAACAATAATAAAATACTTAAATTAGTTTGTAAATTGAATTTTCTAAATACATGTTAACAATTATGCAAGATGATAATGTGTTATTTCGCTATTTAAGAAAGGGTCATGTATTATAGTACACCTAAGAGTACCAATAGTAAAGGTCCTCAAAAAAATATATTATTTCTAAAATTTATTGAAATAAACTAATGTTTGACTTAATATCTATCAACAAACCAAAAAAAAAAATTCCAAAATTTTTTAAAAAAGCTTGATATTCTGCACTATAATATCAGACTCTTCCTTATATATTATTATTTGGTTCATCTATAGTATAACGTGTACTAATACACTCGATGATCACATCAAATATCATATTATAAATAAGGTTATAGAT